GCTCAGTGGCTCCGCCGCCTGCCTCGCAAGTGCAAGAACCCAAGTTTGATCCCTGGTACCAAAAATAAAATAAAATAACAGTATATTGTATGCTCTTTTTTGTTGTTTTGGTTTTTTAGATATATGATTTTATCTCCCCAAGGTTTACCCAGACAAACGTTAGAAAAAAATCATCCAGGATAATTTTGAGCTAATTAATTTCCTAAAGAATTACCTTATTCATCTCTAGTATGCTGGATCTGTGTAACTCAGGGAAAAGTAAGTTTCTCTTATTTTATAAATCAGGTTGAAATCTGTATTGTTAGATATAAATTAATGTTTTAGTTTTCTAAGGCTGCTCTAGCAAAATATCATAAACTAGGTGGCTTAAAAACTGTAGAAATTATTTCATAGTTCTGGAGGATATGTTTGAAATCGGGAGGTAGGCAGGGCCTCCTTTGCTAAAGGGTCTTAAAAAGAACCTTTGTCGTCTGTTCTTCGTTTCTGGGCAATCCCAGCAATCTGTGGTGTCCCTGACTTAAGAGTCACCCTCACTCCAACCTTTGCCTCCAACGTCACATCAAGTTCTCAACTTCACATTCTTGTCTGTGTTTTTGCATCCCAATCTCCCTTTACTTTCTCTGCTTATAGAGACACCAGCATAATGGGTTGAAGGTTAACCCTAACCCAGCATAACTTCATCTCAGCTCGATTATGTTTGCAAAGATCTTACTTCTAAATAGGGTTTTCAGAGACATTTCATTTATTTGGGTACAATATTTAACTATTTACCAGTCCAATTATTTAAATACAGGATGACCAAAAACTGCACTATTTTTTCATTAATTTTTATAAGATAATACAATGCAATATAAAAAGGAATTTATCAAATTTAATCAATACTGTACAAGAGTCCAGTGGTTGAAATGACTTCTACCCTAGTGATGCTCAGAATAGTCAGTGCGTAAACAAACACGCTGCCCAAGTGGCACTTGTGGTAAACTGTTAAGTGGTGAAAAGGTCTTTGGAGCGACAGTCAAGAGTTTTGGGTTTTGGTCTTGCCTATTTATGCCTTCATATAAAAGGTATTAATTTTACATAATGTCATGTTAGATTCTAGAAATGAAACATAGAATTCATATGTTCCCTTTTTTTTTTTTTTTTTGGTACTGGGGACCTTGTGCTTTCGAGGCAGACGCCAGAACCACTGAGCTAAATCCCCAGCCCGGTTCCCATTTTTAAATAGAGGAAAGCCAGTCTGTGTTAGTGTGTGAAATTAACTCCTATAAAATGCATCAAGCATAATTAATTCTGTCTAAAATAATCCTGAGTTTCATTCTTCTCCAAAATACCACTGTGAATATCTTTTCCCTTGACAGCTCCTTAAGTTTAATACCATCTGTCTTCCAGGGTTTCCTATTTCATGTGCCTATTGTAGGTATGATCTACCATATTAACTACTGCCCCTCTACTTTCTTTTTGTTTTTGTTTTTATATACTACTGGGAATTGAACCTATAGCTGCTCCACCACTGAGCCATATGTCCAGGGCTATTGTACTGTACTGTATCATACTGTACTATACTGTATTATGAGACTGGGTCTTGCCAAGGTGTCCCGGCTTGCCTTAAACTTGTGATCTTCCTGCTTCAACCTCTCAAGTTGTACCTGGGATATAGATGTGCACCACACATCCAGCAGCTCCCTCTGTATTTCTTTTCTTTTCTTTTTGTATCAGGGATCGAACTCAGGACCTTGTGCTTTTCAGGCAGCAGCACCACTGAGCTAACTCCCCAGCCCAACCTCTGTATTTCTGAGGAACCCTCCCAGCCCAAGTCACTGTGGCTTCCTTCCTGTAAAAAGATAAATTTTATCATCTCTATGGCACATAAGGGTTTTCACTGTACTGTAGAATATAATTCCTTAGATTAGTTGAGGTTAATTACAAATTAACACATGGCAGTATAATCTTAGGGATTGATTTTTTAAATTAGTACTTGTAAAGTTAAATTTTGCTCTATTCCATAATGTTATTAAATAGGCACTCCTAAAAAGCATGGTATTGAATATGGTAAAAAGAGAATGCTGTTTTGTTGAATTTCGTTTCCATATTAATTGGTACTGCCTTGTTTTGGTAGCAACAATAAGCCACCCCTTTGATGGTAGTTAGCATAAATTATTCTGCACCCGTGTCCACTTTAAGTCAGCTGTTAACTAAAGAAGCAAAGAATGATAAGAAAGGTCATTTATTACAATGAAATTTATTTTAGATGTTTATCTAAATTTCATCAAAAGATTTTATGGGTTTGAAATATACTTTAGGGGTTGTAGTTTTTACAGTATTTTTAAAAGTACAATTAAATAGTCAAATGCCTGTCTAAATGGATTTTTCTTTCATAATTATTTTTATTTGTATTAGAATTTTGTTTGATTTATGTATGTTTGCCTGAATTAGTAATACAATATAAAAAATATCAAGGACAAAATAGCAATGCTCAGTATTGTTACCTATTAATGTCGAATACTGAAGACTGAAAAACTGCTCTGTATCTTATTGACTTGACTGTCTCCAGACTCTACTTCTGAGTGATTAAATTCTCAACTCAAAAAAAAAAATCTCAACTCAATAAAATAGCTCACTCTTCAGTGGTGCTTCCATTAAATTGCCTTTTTTTTTTTTGGTACCGGGGATTGAACTCAGGACCTTGTGCTTGTGAGGCGGGCGCTGGCACCCCTGAGCTAAATCCCTGGCCGTGCCTTTTCTTAATGTTTACAGTTTTCCATTTTATCTGCTGCCTTTTACATTTGAGAATGTTAATGGTAACTATTTGTCACCAAAAAATTCTGCCATGTGAGAGGCAAATAGTTTAAAATTACAGGGCTAGAAAGAACTTTGAGAGATTACCCAGAATCCAGCCTATCAATAATGTCCACTTATCTAAAACCCTTGTATCTTTCTTTATGTACACTAACCAGGCCTTTTTAGCTGGCCATAGTGAAGAGTGGTGCTACAAGTAAAAGTTGTTTTAATGCTTATATTTTTAAAATTTCTTATCTTTTTGGAAAATATCTTTATTACCCATTTTCAGTTGGGAATTATCATGTATAGATTTTTATTTTACTTGACACAACTGAGTGAATATTTTTCTAAAAATATAGATTATGCCTCTATAGTGGAAAGTATGATAAATTTTTAATAAGTATAAGAAAGTTGGATAACAAAAGCTGAGTATTAAATAGATACTGCAGTATAGTACTAATTTTGAAATATTTGAACATTAAAATACTTTAAGTAAGTTATTTTCATAAAAATGCTTTGAGACATTAAGAAATCTGTTTACTTTTTCACAGGGTGTGTGTGAGTGTGTGTGTGTGACTAATTTTTATCAACTGAAACTAAAAAAGGGAGAAGGGCTGGGCCAGGGATTTAGCTCAGTGGTTCCACCACCTGCCTCCTGCCTCGCAAGCGCAAAGTCCCAAGTTCGATACCCAGAAAAAAAAAGGGAGAAGGGACTGTGTTGATCTTTAAGGAATTTTTGGCAAGAATGCAAAATCAAGGGGCCTGGGACTTAGCTCAGTGGTTTCACTGCCTGCTGCACAAGCTCAAGGACCTGAGCTCTATCCCTGGTACAAAAAAAAAAAAAAAAAGAGCAAAATTATTAAAGTACTAATATTTGTAACTACCTTGAATGTTTTTGTTTTTGTTTTTGTTTTTGTTTTGGTACCGGGGATTGAACCCGTGTCCTTGTGCTTGTGAGGCAGGCAGTGGAACCACTGAGCTAAATCCCCGGCCCCCTTGAATGTTTTATGGATAAATTTCTCAAGTGTCTTCATTTATGATACAAAGTAGGTTTTTATAGTTAGTTCTATGAAAGGTCCATTGATAAAATATTTTTTTCTTAACTTTTTCTTTTTATAGCTAGAAAGAGCTTTAGGATTTTATTGGACTACTATCACTGAATTGTCATTCATACTTCTGTTAATTGCTTGCTTGAATTAAAGCTACCTTATTTTATTGATAATAAGTAGCTAAGAATGATTTAGTACTTTTAAAATACAGTGTTTCTCTCTGGCATATGTAGGTATTTGCCAGTAATGGAAAATGTAGTTGAGTTTCATAAATGTGTACATTCTTAGCTTTACTCAATATCTTAACATGTAGATACTAACAAAGTTTTTCATGAAATTAATAGTAGAATGACAAAGACAACTGACATTTATATTGTCTTAATGTTTGCAAAATGCTTTGACTTCTAATATCAACCCCATAAAACAGACACAGTAGGCTTTTTTTTTTTCTTTTTTCTTTGGTACCGGGGATCGAACTCACGTTCTTGCGCTTGCGCAGCAGGTGGCAAAACCACCGAGCTAAATCCCCAGCCCTGACTTTCTATAAACCTTCATTTGAGAGGAGAAAAGTGAGGCTCAGAAATCAAGAAATTTGCCCCAGGGCAGTAGCGGTGAGAACCCTGAAAACCTATGGCATGCATGCTGCAGCGGGCTGTTTGTACTCCCCTAGAGTCACACAAATAGTCAGAATGAGGTTCCTTTCCACTTTTTTGCATCCTCCTGTATATTTATCTTCCTTACTATCATAATAACCTTCAAGGGTAATTAATACAGAGCTCAGAAACCTAAGACCAAATTCTACACATAAAAAATTAAAGACTTCATCTGTATGCCACTGCTAAGTCCTCTGATAGAAAGACAGTTCATGTCTCTCATTTCTTTTCAGTAATAAAAAGCTTGGGAAACTGCGCAGTACTGCTTGTCACAGGATTCGCTCCACTTTAACATTGCTGCTTTTGCTTTGTTTTAATGTGGAAAACTTGATTGCATGTTAATATAAATAGTAATATGCAGAGAAGAAAAATATTTTTAAAAGAATGGAATTTTTTGACATTTAAAATTATGGTGGAAGAAAGAGTTAAATGAATTTTACTTTTATCCTTAAATAAAATGGGCATCTTGTTTTGTCCAAAACCGTTTTACTGGTTCAGATTTGTCCTTTTGGTTTTACAGCAGTTAGAGGAAAAGAGTGAAGATCAAGAAGACAAGGAATGTTTGAAACAAGCAATAACAGCTTTGCTTAATGTTCAAAGTGGTATGGAAAAAATATGTTCTAAAAGTCTTGCAAAACGAAGACTGAGGTGAATATTCTCACTTTTTAAAATATCCTCCTTCTCACCCTACATATTATGGTATAAATTCAGGGAACCCAGTTCCCTCCTAAGTAAACAATGAAGAAAATAGTTTTAGTGACAAGCTTGGTCTTTCAGAGGAAGTGACATCAAAGCCAAGAGAATTTGTTATTGTTTGAAAAACCTTTCATATTTGTGCATTTTCCTTGCATACTCCCAGACAAGACCTCCTGAGAATCAACTGGTAAGCTAAAGGAGAGGTAGAGCAAAATGTATCGGGTAGATTTATGTCAGCTCATTGTTCTGTCAAAGTAAAATTAGTGGTGTCCTTTATTTTAGGGATTATATAACTTGAGGCATTAATTCAGATAACCTTGCTTCCACTTTCTAATTATAATATGTGCTACATGTATTTAGCTTTGGGTCTTGTCTATTGAAACATTAAACATCTAAATAATTTATTTTAATCTCTTAAACTACTTTTTTTCCACTACATAGGCTACTTTTTAATATTTGTCATTCTAAATAGTTAGTAGCCAAGGTAGAAATAATCACTCTGTAGCTGAATTTATGGGATTGAATTTTGTCAGTAGTTATTGTTTTTTTAGAGCACTGAAAAAAATTTCTCTGTTGCTTTAATTTCCAAAATTGTGTAATACTAATATTTGGGGAATTAGTGAATACCTTATGAGTGTGACTTTTTAAAATGTACTTTTACCCTATCCCTTGTTTACATGAACTCTAGATTCTGTCATCTGTGCACTAATAATGTCTTTTCCTTTATTCCCAGTGAATCTGCCTGTCGGTTTTATAGTCAGCAAATGAAGGGGAAACAACTAGCAATCAAGAAAATGAATGAGATTCAGAAGAATATTGATGGTTGGGAGGGAAAAGATATTGGACAATGTTGCAATGAGTTTATAATGGAGGGGACTCTTACACGTGTAGGAGCCAAGCATGAGAGACACATATTTCTTTTTGATGGCTTAATGATTTGCTGTAAATCAAATCATGGGCAGCCAAGACTTCCTGGTGCTAGCAATGCAGAATATCGTCTTAAAGAAAAGTTTTTTATGCGAAAGGTACAAATTAATGATAAAGATGACACCAATGAATACAAACATGCTTTTGAAATAATTCTAAAAGATGAAAATAGTGTTATATTTTCTGCCAAGTCAGCTGAAGAGAAAAACAATTGGATGGCAGCACTGATATCTTTACAGTACAGGAGTACCCTGGAAAGGATGCTTGATGTAACAATGCTGCAGGAAGAGAAGGAGGAGCAGATGAGGCTGCCTAGCGCTGAGGTGTATAGGTTTGCAGAGCCTGATTCTGAAGAGAATATTATATTTGAAGAGAACATGCAGCCTAAGGCCGGGATTCCAATTATCAAAGCAGGAACTGTTATTAAACTTATAGAGAGGCTAACATACCATATGTATGCAGGTAAGAAATATGAAGTTGCCTATTATTCTGTTTTCCTGCTTTAGGCTAATTGTCTTTGCTCTTTGGCAGTTGTGCCTAAATTAGAAAATAACAGCAGCCAAAGATCTCTACATTATTAGAGTTCATTTTCTATGACTAAAACCACCACTTTATATTTCTTTGGAATTTTATACTTTTCCTACCACCTTTACATACATTATTTCAAACCTTACAATTAGAATTACAGATAAGAAAATGAGCTCATGTGGCTAAATTTACCCAATTAAAAACAGCAGAAACAGTCTAAAATTAGAAACACATCTTCATTGGAGTCTAGAAAGTTTTTATTCCTTTGCCTTTTTTTTTCTTCTCGTTACATTATTGAGATTATAATGCAAAAATTTTAACATTCATCCATAAGCAAAATTGTGCTGGTGGTAAAGATATATATACACAGCATTGTTTTTTCTTGATTTCCATTCCTAAATGTATTAAATTTAGCACCCAGGAAGCCATTTCAGTTTTCTGTAATTATTTTTTTTAATTACTGATGTTCCTTAAGAAAATACTTTTAGGGCTGGGGATGTAGCTCAGTGGCACAAGACCTCCCTGGCAACCAAAAGGTCCTAGGTCCTTTTCCCGATACAAAAAAAAAAGAAAACAAAAAACTTTTAAGTTGCATGTTAGCAGGGCAGTTTTTAGAAACAAACTTGTCCAAACAAGACAGGAAGATTACTATAGGCAGAATCAAATGTAATGGTAAGGAACATATATAACCATTACTTTTAAAGCAATTTTATTTCTTCAGTAAAGTAACATGATCATCTGTTCTTCAACCTTCAACTTCTCTACCTACTAGGAAATTTGATCACTAAAATTTCATAATTTGTGGTGTGATAGAGCACTGAACTTGGATGTTGTACCTTTACTTGATTAGTCTCTTAATATCGCACAACATTAGTTTTTCATCTCAAAAGTCAACGTTAAGCTGGACATGGCAGTACACATAGATAGACCTACCATTCCAGGAGGCTGAAGGACGATTGCAAGTTTGAGCCCAGCCTGAGCAACTTAGTGAGACCCTATCTCAAAATAAAAAATGAAAAGGCCGAGAATATAGCTCATGTGAAGGCACTGGGCTCAATCCCCAATACAAACAAACAAAAACAAAAAACCAGAAAATACTTTAACATCAAATAGCGACTTTAATATGTTGTTGGAAAGAATGAAATACTGGATGTGAACTCTTTGTAAGTATAAACCTATTTTCAAAGATTTTTTTTTTTTTTTTTGGTACCGGGGATCAAACTCGGGACCTTGTGCTTGCGAGGCAGGCAGTGGAACCACTGAAATAAATCCCTGGCCCAAAGAATATTTTTATTACAAAGGCATGTAAGTGATTTAAAATCAAATGAAATTCATAAATGCTGTCCTTAAATAATTGAATGTGAAAGTTAACCTCCAACTTCATACTTCTTGTCTAAATACATTCCTATTTCATTTCTAGGAAATGTGTGGGTTTTTGTTTTTGTTTTTGTTTCTTTTTGGTACCAGGGATCAAACTCGGGTCCTTGCAGTTGCACAGCAGGCGGCAAAACCACTGAGCTAAATCCCCAGCCTGGAAATGTGTGTTTTTAAGGAAATTTTTCTTCCATTTTTAAAGTCTAATAGGTGAATTGTCAGTTCTCTCTGTAAACTCTTCTGGCATCAGTTTAACTTTTAAACATATCATATCCATTAACTTCTCTGCTTTAGTAAAGATGGTTAGCATCCAACAATGTTAATCTGTACAGTTTATTAAATATACAATCATAACCCCTTATACTATATGGGAACTACATGGCTCACTTTGCAAGAAGGGCAACTGTTTCAGTCACCTTTCAAGAAGGGAAATTAAGTTAAAATAATATTTTTGTCAGTGATGTCCAACTATTTTATAATCTTTTATTGTATTCACATATCTCCTTGATAAGTAAGCCAGTATTTGGTTTTGTTTTGATTTCAGTTTCTTTCTTTTTCTTTTCTTTTTTTTTTTTTTGGTACTGGGGATCAAACTCGGAACCTTGGGCTTTTGAGGCAAGTAGTGGAACCACTGAGCTAAATCCCCGGCCCTATCTATCTTTCTTTTCTCTTTTCTTTTTTTTCTTTTTCTTTCTTTCTCTTTCTCCTCTTTCTCTTTCTGTCTGTCTTCCTTCCTTCCTTCCTTTCCTTTCTTTCCTTCCTTTCCTTTCTTTCCTGTCTCACTATATAGTTCAGGCTGGGTCTTGAACTCACCATGTAGTCCAGGCTGGCCTTGAATGCACTTAAATCCTCCTGCCTCAGCCTCCCAAGTGCTGGTACTACAGGCATGTGCCAGCATGCCCAGCCTCCATTTTCATTTGACTTTTTTTTTGGTACTGGGGATCAAGCTCAGGACCTTGCATTTGTGAGGCAGGCGGCGGAACCACTAAGCTAAATCCCTGGCCCTCATTTGACTTTTAATAGGTTTTTTGCTAGCCTTTTCCATAGTAAAATAATAGTATTTTCCATAAGCTAGGTTTTTAAGTTTTTCTATTTTATTTTATTTAATTTTTGTACTGGGAATTGAACTCGGGGCTTCCGACATGCCAGACCAGTGCTGTACCACTGAGCTACAATCTCAATCTGTTTTTTTATTTCTCTTGAGATGGCATCTTACTGAGTTGCTCAGGCTGCCCTCAAACTTGGGATCCTCCTACCCCAGCCTCCTGCTCAGCAAGGGTCACAGACATGAAGGCAGAGGGCATGAGCCATCACACCTTCCAGGTTGTTTTCACTACCACACTGGGTTCTCTACTCATCTGTCCTTGGGTAGTAGTAGGCAGTAGCTGAGACATGTTGAATGTGGGTAAGAGAAGACTAGATAGATTCCAATTTTACTATAACTTTTCACCTTGAAACTTTTGTAGTCATTTGTTCATTTTATTAAGCAAAAAGTAAAAAACTTTAAAGTACAGGAAATTTAAATAAGCTGCCAAGTATTTGCATGAAAAATAAAAAGGTTATCATTTTTCAACATACAAAACTTTTTTTAATGTATAGTTTTCAGTAATTACTATGATCTCCCTTTTTAGTTGATCTTTATCAACTTTCTCTATACTCTTTTTTTTTTTTTTTGGGTACTGGGGATCGAACTTGGGACCTTCCGCTTGCAAGGCAGGCACTGGAACCACTGAGCTAAATCCCCAGCCCAACTTTCTCTATACTCTTTATAACCTAAAATACAACTATAAAAATGTTTTAGTACATTACCTAAAATTGTGGCCACAAAATACTTACTGCCTTACTGCTTCTTAAGTTATTTTTAAGGTTATAAAAATCCAAATTGCTTTTCTTGTCACATTGATTTGGTTCTTAAGTCCTTACAGGCATGCTAAACTGTTCGTTTTATCCTGAATATTTTTTTAGGGTTGGGTTTCTTCCTACTTAGAACAAAATGAATCCCTAGAATTTTACTGTGTTCACATCCCTCACACATGCAATATAAGTTACCAGAAGAAGTACTAGTGTTTACTATCACAGAAAGTAGTATTGGAGTTGGAAATTTATTTACTTCCAAAATTTTAATCCAATTATTTCTTTAAAACATTAATTATAAAAATGTTCTTTAAACTATTTCACAGAATTGATTTATGATTATTAATACACAGTCGCAGAACTGCAATTCAGCATTTCCCTCTGAAGAACTGTGCCTTTTATTTTTGAGTGAGTGCCCTTTAACGCAAACCTACAAGCAGGTAGTTACTCTGTTTTCTTGGCAATCTGTGTTCTCTAATGTGCACAATGTGAGCCCAGGCCTGGACACCACACTTATGATACTGTTAATTACTTCTGATCATTTTTCTTTTACATCCATTTTTAGCTTTTGAATAGATAATATTTTGCATGGTTTTACTTATAATTAATATAATACTTAAATTTCTAAATTTATAAAACTTTGCCCAAGTTAAGTGTTTTAAAATTTAAATTGTGAGGTTATTTTAGTTTTGAAAAAAATTCTTCCCAGGGCTGGGGATTTAGCTCAGTGGTTCTGCCGCCTGCCTCACCAAGCACAAGGTCCTGAGTTTGATCTCCGGTACCAAAAAAAAAAAAATATTTCCAGTAATTTCTTTTAAAATGTCAGTATTGGTTTTAGAAGTGGTGTTGCTAAATTTTTTAACATTTTTCTTTTTTGGAACTTAATAAAATATTGAAACTTATTGAAACTTAATTGACTATTTTGTCGTAAATGTATTATTGTTAATCTACCAGCAGCTTTCAAGAGTTATGGTGTACAAAACACATAGATTAGAGTTAATTATTAGCTTATTTGAGCTATTCTGTAAGGCCTGTTACTTACTAAATTTATTATTGGCAATACAAAATGTGCTTTTGATAGACCATCTCTAAATTGTAAAATACAAGAACAGTTATTTTTAAGGTCCTTTCTAGCTGAAATGGACTGTGAGTCTTCCCTTCAATGGTAACAGATGCAGTTACCATTTGTCTTAAGAACGATTATTGGTCTGTTTCTCTCCTCCTGACCTTTTTCTTTCTTTTTTTTTGCCTCCCCAAAGAAAAAAGGGATTTTGATTTGATTAGTTGTTTAGTAGGTGTTTTTATTGGAGCACATACAGTACAGGTTGTAGCTTATACTGAAACAAAAGCTAAAACTTGCACATTTTTATTATATAGAATTATAATAAAAAGACATTGTATGTTATACATGAGAAAACTTAATAACTGATGATACAAGATACCACTTACAGACATCTTTTAGATTATTATAGGTTGGTCAAACATTGTCATAAAAAAAAAACCAAGAAAAACTAGGTTAACCCTACTTAATTCAGACTGACTTTAGCCAACTTGCTTCCTTAACTGTTTTAACAATAATTTACAAAAGGGAGTTAATAGCTCCCTAGGAGAGATGTCCACATACACCCTCACTTTTTAGACAAAAACTCAAGGCCCTGAGGGTTACATGATTTGCTGGAAATCATATCACTTAATTGCAGAAAGAG